CCCTTTTCGCTTTCACGCCTACTCCCTGCTTTTTTGCAGATCCGACATCTGGGCCTTTGGTGTTGTACTTTGGGAATTGGCCACTTACGGTCTCTCGCCTTACCCCGGTGTGGAGCTGCACGGCGTCTACCAGTTGCTGGAGAAGGGCTATCGCATGGAGCGACCGCACGGCTGTCCGGAGGCTGTCTACTCTATAATGCTGCGATGTAAGTCTCAACCCTCCATTACTCTTGCCATCCGCCCGGTTAATTTCGGCTGTCTTAAATAGACCACGAAGTACAGTGGGTTGAGTGTTCTCCTCTCTCTCTCTTTCTCCCTCTGCCCTCCACACAGGACATGGACCCATGACTGTGGTAGGCGGTTTGTCCAATTTGGCTTTTTGTCATCGGCGAAACAAGCCCACCATGGCAGGGGGCGTATGCGGGCTGCCGACGGCCTGTGAGCTAAGAATAATATTGTCCTTTTAAGTAATAACCGCGAAATGTTAAAGTGGTATTGCCTGTCCTATGTGGCAAGCGTAGGTGTACCGCCTCTTCCGAGCCAAGTCCCTGGGTTAGGTGGGGGCAGGGAGAGGAGGTTGGGAGGTCCAAAGACGTACTGTAAATGTGTGCGGTAAACCACCCGTATTTTACATTCGTACCCTTGGTGTCTTAGCAGTGTGTCCATAACACTTCTACGTTTGCATTATTGGTACCGTACCTTTTGACAGTCTTTTGATCTCTGTGTGGCAATAAATGCAGTTATGTCTGGGGCGAAACGGACATGAAGTGATTTGGATTGTTTTGCCCATTTAGTTGTCTTTCTCGGCATGCCTAGCATTTAAACTGTAAAACGGTGCACTAACCTCTAAAATTGTTAAGTGGCTGTTCATAACGCTACCTCTCGTTGCAGGCTGGGCATGGGAACCGGCCGACCGTCCGACTTTCGCTGAAGTTCGTCAGGAGTTGGAACGCATGCGGAGAACTGTTGATCTAGATGCAGGTTGGTCTCCATCTGTTCGCCTTGATTATAGTAGACTAGTACTCTTATGAATCCTTCTGCCACCACTGCTGGTACTGTTTATAAGGTCACCACTACTACCATTGCTGCTTTTATGACGTCTAGTAGTATTACTAATGAAACTATTAATCTAGTCATATATACCACTGCCATTACTACTAAGGTAATAAAAATTTTCTTAGAGCTTCTACTCTCGTAGCAAGGGTCGAGCGCCTCAATGACGAGATGATAGTGTACTTTCCCTATTCATATGTCGGGTATATAGCTTTTTTGCCCAGCAAATTCTCGCCGACCCGCTATCAAAGTTTTGAGATTCACGGAAAACGCTGACAGGAGGACGTTTATTATGACGCTTTATTCCCATATTTATTTTACTAACCTCGATTGCTTCTAATGCTTTACGTAGGGGTTTTTTGTTTTCAGTAATTTTACTTACAATAGACTGTTATCTAAATCGCTTTTGATTTGGCGTACCTGCCAGGTACATTCGACTCTCTCTCTCTCTCTCTCGCCATTCAGCGTTAATCATTTCTGTCCGATAACGTTTTTCATACGTTCGATTTTCCTGCTTAAACCAGCAACGGCACAATAGCCTTTTTATTTGCTTACAAATTGTCGAGCTTGTTAACTTCATGACTGTCGGTCGTTCCCTGATGTATTCTAATCTTTTACGTACTGGTGTGATTTTCATCTTTGACTTGCAACCTCTCTTCGCCTCTTCTCATCTCCCAGTCGTTGCCGTGGAATTATCCAAACGGCATTCTTATCGCGAGCCTCTGGATATAACCAGTAGTGTTAACCACCCTCAGCCGAATGCGTGCGCGGGGTCAACACTGCACCTCGAAGTGGCAC